GGTTGGGTCTATGGAAGGCATTTCACCTACCCCTTCGAGAGCTTGCGCAAGGATGGGGTGACCAGGATTGTGGAGAACGGGGGAGAAGGGTTTTCATGCTTGCTCGGATGTCCTTCTTAGGTCTCGCTCATGTTCCTCGGCTTGAATACCGTGGGGAAGATGTACTTGAACCAATAAGTTCCCATGGCCTTTGAATGATGCGAAAGCTCGCCCTTCGCCTTCGCCCGATGGCCTCGCCCCGGTGGCGTCGTTTGGAGCGTCCGCGTTGTGCGCTCTGCTTCTCCCTGATCCGGATCGCGACGCAGGAGCCTCGCTTCTCCCGGGAAGACTTCAGCTTCGGCCCTTCGGACCCCCGGAACCGCGCCGGTCGCCGGATCGGAGACGCGACGGAGAAAGGCGCTCGCTCGTTGGAAGCTCCTTTTTGATTTGATTTGGCTTATTGTAAGGGCATCCGAAAAGGCTTCATCATGTTTCAATCGTTGTTCCAAGGACTTGAGCAAAACCTCATTTTCTTGGGCATACCCATCTTGCTCATCAGCTTTTCAAAGGGATGCAAGCTAGTTCGTCCACCTCAGCGTTGTGCCCACCAAAATTTCAACCAGAAGAGAAATGAGTCATTGGAGAGGACGAGTTGAAATGGAGAGGACGAGTTGCTCGAACGCAGTGCGTTCTGGGAAGGAATTCTTTTGGGATTGTTCATTCATTCCTCGCAAGGTCTCTTTGATGGATTCTCCTGCGATCCTGACTACCGCATCTTTTGCTGCAGCTGCTTCTGCTTGCCGCAGCTCGCGCTTGGATAGTTTGGATCGTTTAGATCGTTTAAGGGTCGCTTTGGTGGATTTCTTGTGGCATGTTGGGATGATGAACGACCCTGAAACAATGTCACAGCATGTGTCCCAAACAAAAGTCATCAAAGATCCCAAGTAGGTCGTTTGGGTGGGCGCGTGGCATGTTGAGATCCTAGATTCCTAGATGATGGTGCCTAGGTAAGCTTCATTGACTCATTGACATGTCGTATGATATCCTATGGATCACACATGCATCACCTCAACCGCCACATGCATGGTGAGATTGACATCCACAGACAGCCCTCGTTTCGGACCCCCCAGTGGACCCTCCAGTGGGCGTCCATGGATCTCATGTCACCCGCCCTGTCATGTCACCCTGGGGGGTTTTGGGATGAAGATCAATGAGGTCGAACCGGACCAGTTTTGGCTCACTTGCCCAGTCTAGCTGGAGTCGGTGGGGATATGCTCCTTGCCAGCTGTTTCTCTTTGTGGTCACTTGAATGTGGCCATGTTGGCCAGATTCTGCAGCATTCTCATGGGAATACGTGTAGGTTTTTGCCGAAAGGCTAAGAAGAAGGATCTCACGATCGCACCCTCATCCACTTTCATGACATCCACTTTGATCCACTTCATCCACATCGACCCACCCTACCCTAATTCGGCGCTGAACTCTCCGCTCGCACCCGAATGACCGACCGGAACGGGGTCGGCTCTGAGGATCCGCTGGGCGGACACGGCCAGCTCCCCCAAGGTCAAGTTCCTGGGCTTCTGGCCAGGCGCTAAACCCCACGGTCCGTCCTTCCCACCTGAACCCTCCGACGCCTTGGAGAAATGCGACGCCTGGGAGACACCACCACGCGCGGTTGGGCACGCGGTTGGGCGAGAGTCAGTCATGCGAACGAAGACGACTGAAGGGAAACCGCGAAGGGGGGGCCTAAGCCAAGTGGTTGGGTTGGCCAAGAATCACCCCCCAACATCACAATTCGGTGACCAATCTTGGAGATGTGGATTGAACAATCCTATCATGACCCACAGCGTCAATGTGTGTTGAGGCATCCTTGCATCCTGACGTCCTTCTCACGTCCTTCTCACGTCCTTTCTGTCCAAAAAAATCAACGACCCTCCTTGAAAGGCCTGGCCCTCTTTGCCCTCTTGATCGCCTGCATCAATCTCTCGTGACCTGCTCGCGCTCGGCGGTGGGCGTGCCGCGGAACCGCCGCGCCGCGCCGCGCCGCGCCGGACCCGACGGACTGGCGGGACGAGGTACGGCGCCACCGTCGTGGCCGCCCTGGCCCTGGCGGTGCTGAACCGCCAGCGGATCCGCAACTTGTACGGTTTGCCCCACAAGTCGTCGGGGAGCCCGGAGCCGGCCTCATGGCTGATCCTTGCAGCTTCAAGTCCATGGCCTCTTGGACTTCCCAGTTTCTACAGTGTTGGCAGTGATTGTTTGAAGAACAATGAGGCAAAACTATGCAACATTGGCTGGACGTGTTCCGATGATTTTAACACTCTAGCAGTTTTTTTTCCTGTGTATTTATTTATGAGTGTATTTATCTATTTTTTCTCGAATGTGTCGCATGAATGTTCGATGTGGCCAAATTGTGACGTCATCAGCCAAGCACGGTGTTTCTGAGGTGCTCGACCTTTTCTATGGATACATTGACCTGGCCTGGAGCTTCAGACTCTGAAGACGAACAGAGCGAACAGCTTGCTGAGTAGAAGTGAAACAACAGCTTGCTCCTCTCAGATGACAAGTGAAGCAACACTAAGCAGAAGACTTAGTTGAGTGAGTGTTTCACAAAGGACCAATACTGTTTATTCCTTTGTGCTCCACCAATAATTGGGCACAAGCTCCTTGGCCGCCTTCAGGCTGTTGTGTGGACCTTGTGTTCTTCCCTCAGTTGGATCGTGACAGAGACACAGAGAGACAGAGAGACTGAAAGACTGGCGAAGCAAGCAGCCAATGGACGTGGCAGGTTGGAGTGACGGAGAGAAGTGTTCAATGACCAGACTGGACAAGTCAGGGATGAGTCAGGGATGAATGAGTTGAGGATGAGTTGGGATGGGTGTGTTTCTGTACAATGATCATCTCATGTTTCCACGCAACAGTCCTTGGTGCTTTCTCCTCACGCAACAAAAACACGCCGCAACGAACCTGCCCGGCGCTGCGCCCAAATCTGCAAAGAACATGAAAGCAGAGACCTTATTCAGCATGGAGAGACCCTACAGATCCACCCGACGGGTAACTTCCACGACTTCCACGCCGGAAACGTCCCGTTGTCGCCGTGTTCTTCTCCGGTCCGCAGAGGCGACCTGGGGAACCCACCCAGGTCCGGTGGCATGTTCATTTGATGACTTGAAGTCCTGGGTGAAGTGCACCGTTCTGACTTCAGAACGGCGAAGACAGAACGGAAGTCGATGATAGAGGCCGCGGCCAAGCGCAGATGGCGTGACATCCCCGCTGACAACAGCCTGCTCTTGTCCCTTTCGTTTCCCTTTTTGTGTCCCGCGATCGGCTCCCCGCGCTCGGCGGACCGACGCGCTCGGCGATCGAGGCTGCCATGCAGGAGGCCCTGCAGGTGGAGTTCGTGGACAGCCCCCTCGACTCCACGGCGCGGAGACCTGTGGACTCCACGGGTCCGGACGGACGTTTCACCCGTAGCGCAGAGGGTCACCGCGGGAGAGCCTCCGTTCGGCCGTTTCTCGTGCGGATGGGCGCGTGTTTGGCCTGTTTGGGGGAGTCTGCGTTCGTTGGGTCTTCGCACCGTGGCGGGTGCGAGGATCACCGCGGGGGTGCGAGGGACAGCTTCGCCCACTTGGAGGGGTCCGAGGTCCATGAACAGACTGGCAGACTCTCGGAAGTGGGATTTGGAGGCCTCCGCGCCCCCGGCGCCACCCTCCAACGCGTCGCCCGCGGAGCAGGTGCCTCAGATGATGCAGATGAACTCGTTGGGAGCCCCAGACGGCGAGCGGAACAGGCATTGCCGGGTCCTATAGGTCCTATCTCCTAAAAAAGAAGGAGATGAGCTGGCAAAGCTCCGCTCCAGTGAGTGAACTAGCTCCTCAGTACCCTCTCATCTTTCCAAGAGTTTTCGGGCCAAGTGGAGAAGAGATGAAGACTCTTTGAACGTTTCAGAGCCGATTTCGCGGCAAACCTCCAGATCTGGATTTTTCCCTCCGCCCTTACGTGAATCGGGCTTCTGAGGATACCAGAACCACCATCCCTTTGCTCTTGGAACACGTGGTGTGCAACAGCCCATTCAACCACAGCAGCAGGTTTCTAGGTATGGGAGATGGGGTCAAACCAACCACAGACGGGGCGAGCAGCTTTGTTTGAAAGTCGTGAAGAATTTGACTCCTTTCGTCAACCTGGCTGATCAACTTCTTGAGGAAGGACAACTGTCTGGCTGATCAACCTGTTTGGCCGTGAGGATGGACAACTTCTTGACCGCCCCTGCCACTGTAGGCTGCAGGGGGCAAGGTTCGTTGAGACATGCTTCCTCCCAGAGTGCCTTTTTTGCCGGCACTGGTGAGATGTGCCGTGTCTCATTACTGCAAGTAGGAACAAGTAGATGGAGAAATATGAACATGTAACATATACTGTAGGAGGTATATGATTGACACCTTGAGAACATTGATGTTCAAACCCATGTTTTTCAGGCCTTGGAGAACATGTTTGTAACCTAAGTGAACTTAACAACTCTCCCCATGTCCGGGCCGCAGGCGACCTGCCAGGCAGCCTCGCTGCCGGGCAGAGGAAGGCCAACCAAAGCTGCTGCTGAGAGAGCGACCGAACGACCCCGGCGACCGAACGACCCAAGCAGCGCGATGTCTGAAAGAAAAGGAGACATGCTGTGAAGGCTGAGAACTCGGAAGCAAGACTTTTTGGAAGCTAGATATCTTGGAAGACCTGAAAGGGGAAAAAAGGACCGCTTGCCCTGGTCCCGCTCTTACAAAGATGTCTTCTCCAAGCCTTCAACTTGCAGGGCCCTGCGGGGCCCTGCGGGGCCCCAAGGGGCCCCAGCAGGGCTGCGTGGTCTTGTTCTAGCACACTTTCAACAACTGCGGGGTGAATATGTGTGAAACCACCAAACGAGGCTCGTAATGCCAACCCTTCGGAGGGCAGCCGTTGGAGCCGTAATGGACGATGGTTTCAACGAACACGACGCCCGCGGGCGTTTTTTTTGTGATGCCAACCCCGGCCGTCGGCAGGATCGTGAGAGGCGGGCGGTGTGTTGGCGCCTTTTGGGGTCGGTCAACCGGAGTCCTCATGGGTTGCGGGAATTCGGACTGACGAAACTGGTTGGGCCAAGTGGGACTGAACATGCCGTTGAGGTTGGAGGCCATCGCTACTTCAGGGGATTGAAGGAGATTGAAGGAGATTGAAGGATAACAACCTACCGTTTTGGCAGATATGGCTCCTGATGCACGACTGCCCGCGTGGCGGAGTGGTGCCTTTCAGATCATCACTGCGCGGAAACCACACATTTGGGGACTCTTGGGGTAAGAGTCAACGTGATTGACAGTAATGCCATGTCCTGCGAAACCGCTCAAGGCTGTATGGACCAAGCCTTCAGGTGGGTCGCCCTTTTGTCACAGGGCCTTCAGTCCAATTTTTGGGGGTTGGGGTGTCCACCTCATTGCCAGGCCTTTCCTCTTTCTAGCTTCCTCTTAGCTTTCTTGATTGGCTGGCTCCTTGGACTTTTGTCCCTCGCCTCCTTCCTTGGACTTTTGCCTGTGTCAGGTGCTCACCTCCCTCAGGCCTCTCAGTCTGGGCACTCGCCTCTCTCGAGGCATGGCTTCAGCTCTATTTGCATGAGCGTGGTCTCCAGGACGAGGAGGTCGTTGATCTGTCCTTGCAGCTCTCCTCCCTCAGGGTGTCAGTCAGTGGCCCCAGCTCTCTGGCTTTTGAGGCCCTTCGCCGTGTATCTGATTGGTTCCGTGGACTTCGAGGGGGCAACCCGCCCTCTTCAAACTCCAGCGACCATTTCACCGTGGTCACTACTCCCAGGCCTTCCTCAGTTCCAAGTGCATCGCGGCCGACTACTACCAGGGCATCGATTGAGGCTTCATTTCCGGAGGTCCCTGCTGGCCTCTTGCTTTCTGGCCGTCGTCTTACTGGCAGTGAGCTCTCCGGTGAAGAGAGGATTCGACGAGCTTGGCGTGCAGGCTGTTGGGCAAGAGCAGTTCTATCCGGTCGAGTGGCAACTCCTTCCGCATCAGTTCAGCTCAACTTGCGATCTACGTGGTCCTCCGGACCCCTCGCTTGGCTGCACCTGCCTGCTTCTCATCTTCAGGGTCGTTCTTTGGAGCCGTTGGCCGTGGGTTCCGTGAGCCGGACACGATCTCGCACTCCTTTCCTTCGGAGACGGAGGCACGTGTCTATTGCCAGGCAGCAGACGTCGCCTTCCCTGAGATTCAGCCGTGATGGCAGAGGTGGAGGAGGACGAGTTCCTGGGAGCAGGAGTTGGGTTGGATTTCAAAGACATGGTTCCACTATCTGTCTCCCTCGTACCATATGTGGTTCTATGGCCTTCAGATCTTCAGCAAGGTGCCGATCTGGAGTCTTTGTTCCTGGTTGTCATCAAGCGCGCTGGTGGGCTCATCGGCGCGCTTCCGCTGGGTGTGATTTCAGACAGAGAGATTGCATCCGGTTCCTCAGAAGCCAATCCCCATGCTTTATTGGGAGCTTCTACCACTATCATGGTGCCCGGAGTGTACCAGAATTCACAGGGAGTTTGGGAGCCTTCAGAGTCCGAAGTGGCCTTGTTGGTGGCAGACTTCACTGCAGACATTGCACAAATTTTGAGGCCTATGACCGAAGACGATACCGAGTCCTTCCCCTTTGTGACGGACCATATCGAGATCTTCCCGGAGCCCAGTCACGTCGTGTCCCAGGTGATGGAATGGCTTGCAACTCAGGGCTTGTCGGTCCCGGAGGGGCCCTATCAAAGCGATGCTCAAGAGGTGACCGCCCAGAGCGGAGGGACCCCTCCTGCAAAGTCAAGCACTCCTCGTCGTCCAGCTGGGCCAAAAGGGGCTATGAGTTCCGCAAAGCCCTCACCAAAGCCAAAGAGAGTGACTACAGCAGCGCTGGCGGGGTCCTTGGAGGGTGTCCTGTCTTCCTTCCCAAATCGAGACTTTGGTGGCAAAGCAGGAGGTCTTGGAGCGGCAGCTGGTCAGTTCATCTTCAGTGCCAAAGCAGTTGGCAAAGCCTTTGACTTCATCCCTGGCTCTGTCCAAACCACCTTCTCTGACCACGGCAGCATCAATGGTGAGGAGTCCCCCGAGGACCCAACAGCTTGTGCCTATGGCTCCGCCGTTGACACCGGCGCCTGCGGTTGCCCCTGCTTTGCATCGGGAGTTGGAGGAGGAACTTCGAGCTGCAGGAGACGCCCCTACAGTTGCACAAGCCATGCGCTGCACTCACTCAGTTGGTGGCACATATGGCAAGTCATGCGGATCCTCTGTTGGACACCCCCGCAGGTTCTACCACATCTACAAGAGGGGCGGCCGGCAGAGCAAAGCTGCAGACCGAGCTGGCTCAGCACTCCGGCGTTTTCTTCGAGGCAGTTCAAAGGGCTATGGCAAGACGGATGTCCCCTACTATGGCATTCTCAGAGCTGACGGCCGACCAGTTGCTTGCTCAGGGTGTCAGTGGTGTGCTACCTGGAGCGGTTCGGAGGATATGGTCGACATCGAGATCTAGGTTTGCTGCAGTATCAAGTCATGACCATTTTCGACTTCCTCATGGTGGGAAATGTTGGAGCAGCAAAGGACATCCTGGCTTTGACAGCGGTCATGATCGTGCAGGCGGTGCTGGACAATGGTCGTTTCGACATTGCGGCCCTCTTGTCTCTGATGGAGGATCCACCGAGTACGATCTTCATGAACCGCCAGATTCTCAGCACTTCTCGGAGCAGAGCCTTTGCTCCCCTGGCGGACCAAAGATGGATCACTGTTGCCTTGGCTTACCTGAAGGAGATGGACACCATTGCCAGTCGACGCCAGGAGTACTCCTCGGGAAGCACGTTGTCGAGTCCTTTGGATCCTGGCGGAGATCAAGCAAAGGCAAAGGCGAAGTCAAAGCAGAAGGGCAAAGGAAAGGGTCGAGGTCGGCCTCAGGAGGTGGCAGAGGAGGAGGGCTAGTTCATATGACCAAGGCTGGATCGTTCCCGGCGCTCCAACTCTTGGATGACAAAGTCAATTTTGTGCAGTGGGCAATGGCTTTGCCCCGTCTGGTGCTGGCATCTCGTACTGATCTTGCCTGGCATCTACGAGCTTCTTTTTCTGTTCGCACGCGAGTCGGATGCTCGCTCTCCACAGTGTTTCCATTGCCGTTGCCCTATGTTGGCGTGTTTGACGGTGGTGGCCCTGGGCTTAGCAAAGTTCGCTTACGAACTCTGGCACAGAAGCGGCTGTTGAACCTGGTTGTACTGGTGCTCAACAAGCTCTACCTTGGCCGTTTTGCCAGTGTTGCTGAACTCGGGAGGCCGCCTTCAGCGGTCCAGCTGAAGGTATTTGATCGACTTTATGGCTACATCACTGTGTGTGGATCTCGCTTGGAGGAATTTTCAGTTGCCCCTGGGCGATCCGGTCCGGAATTGATTGCATGCATTGCTCGCCTTGAGGCTTTCCTGGCTATTCATCCAGCGCTTCAAGGGGGATATTTTGATCATGGCGCCATTGCTTACAAGCCACCTACTTTGTCAGTGGAAGAGTATCCTCAGCTTGTCCCTTACAAGAACCTTGATGCAAAGAGGCTCAAGTTGACTGGGACTGGCGCGTGGCCGTTGGCGGACTACCTTGATGGTGAGCTTTGGTTGCCTTATGTTGAACCTGCGTTTTTGCTTCATGGAGGGCCAGATGATCGCACGAATTGGCCCTCTTTCGCCTATGAGGCCCCCGAGCAGTATTTTGACCTGGCGATGAAGTGGGACTCTTTGGGCCTCCTTCGACTCTTTGATTCACCTAGTCAAGAGGGGCATTTTTGCAAGGTGTTCAATGCCTACAAGGATGTGGATGTGGATCGCCAGATTGGAGATCGTCGCATCCCTAATAGCAGAGAAAGAGGAAGTCCAGGGCCTTCAGCTTTTCTTCCTTCTGCAGTTCAATTGTGTGCGCTATATGTGCCAAGGGGGAGTCATTCGGCCAGATGCTCTATGACAGATCGGCGTGGTTTCTACCATCAAGCATCGGTCTCCAGGAGTCGTGCTCGCTCAAACATCACCCCCTTCGCCTTTCCGGCGAAGAGGTTCCTGGGCACTCGAGCTTTTGAAATGTGGAAGACTGAACTCTCCGGCAGGAAAGCGCTCACTAGAGAGGACAAGGGCGACTTCCTTCGTGGTGATCCTTCTGAAAGACAAGACTCAGCTTTGAATGATTCTTGCCTGCTATATCCGGCCTTCGGGGCTCTTTACCAAGGAGATCATCTTGGGGTTGAGTTTGCTCTGCGTGCCCATGAGGTGCTCCTTCATCGGAATGGACTACTTGTTGATGAGCGCAGATTGCAGAACAAGCATCCCTTGCCTTGTGGAAGTGTTTGGGAGGCACTGATCATTGATGACTACTTCTGTATCTCGGTTCAGAGACATGATGTCCCAAAGGAATGCACAGATGCCTTTGCAGCGCTGCAGGTTGCACGGCACATCTACGAGAAGCACGATTTCGCTGGTTCTCATGAAAAGGACATCGTAGCTGAGGACCTTTTCAAAGCGGCAGGAGCAGAGGTTGACTCAAGACGTGAGGCTATAGATGAAGGGTGTATTCCAGCTGCAGCACCCCTGGGAAAGCGGCTAGGGCTGGCTTCCTTGTCTCTGAGGGTGGCATCCTTGAGGGCTATCTCCAGTTCTTTGGCATCGCGCTTGTCGGGTTCATGGGTGTCCGTCCTGCTCTTCAGAAGGTGCTTCTCTAGCATCGTGCAGCAGTTCTACTCCTTTGGTGCAGCGTGCTCAGAGGTTGAGAGTGACAAAGTGTTGCCCCTGAGCAGGGCCGTATCGCAGGAGCTGGTGGAGCTTTCAATTATGGCGCCTTTGATTTCCTCAGACCTCACGCGCCCATTTGATGACCTGGTATTTGCTACTGATGCTTCCATTAGCAAAGGAGCAGTTGTCAGTGCACCCATTGGCAGTGAACTTGCAGGGGTTCTTTGGCGAGGTGGCGACAAGAGGGGAGGCTACACCAGGTTGGACAATCCCTTCCGTGCCGCTCTCAAGCATCTTGGCGAGGACTTGTATGATGAGGAGGACCTCGATGAGAGCGCCCCCACTATTCGACGGGCACCATTGCTGGTTTTTGACTTTGTTGAGATCTGTGGTGGTGCTGGAAGAGTGTCTGAGGAGATGGCTTCTCTGGGCTACTCAGTTGCCCCAGTACTAGACTTGTCTGAGAGCGAAGCCTATGACTTAAAGGATCTTCGGTTGCTGGAGTGGATCTTACACATGATTGAGCAAAACTTGTTTAGATCTTTGATGGTCTCGCCTCCTTGCACTACCTTCTCGCCAGCAGCTTACCCTGCAGTCAGATCCTACAAGGTCCCAAAGGGTTGGAAGAGAAGGCGCCCAAAGGTCCTCATTGGGAACATCCTTGCCTTCAGGTCTCTTGTCATCATGGGCCATGCCTACAGTTGGGGGAGGCCCTCAGCGCTCGAGCAGCCGCGGCGGTCAAAAATGGCATGGCTAGATGAGTGGAGAGCCCTACTCCGTCGAGGCCTTGAGGAGGCCGTCGTCGCCTCCTGTGCTTTCGGTTCAATTCACCAAAAGGAATTCCGGCTGCTACTGGCCCATCTGGATGCAGCTGCTCTCACAGTCCATTGTTCACGGGACCATCCCCATGTCAAGATTGAGGGGCAGTATACAAAGAAGTCTGCCATCTATGAGCCTGGAGTTGCAAAGCATTTCGCTGGTGCCTTTCATGCGGCCCTGTCCAAGCTCCCAGAGGATTGCTCTGAGGTTGGTGATGGTCTGGAGAGCATTGTTGCCAATGACCTTCTCTTGGCATCGTCATGGACGGTTGAGAGGAGTTGGCACTGGAAGAAGGGAGGCCACATCAATGTTCTCGAAGTTGGTGCCGTGGTGTCATTGCTCAAGGACGCTGTCATTTCTCGGTCTGACAGACGCCTAAACATATTGCTGGACTCCAATGTGGCGAAGTGCGCCTTGGCTAAGGGCCGCAGCTCATCAAAGATGCTGACTCCTGTTCTTATGAAGGCTGCCGCGCTTCAGATTGCAGGAGGCTTGTATCCATCCTACAACTTTGCACCTACAAGGTTGAATACAGCAGATCATCCAACTCGGGATCGACGACTACCAGATCCGGTCCCTCACTCACTGGTTGAGTCGCTGTCCTTGTTACAGATTGGCTCCTTGCAGAATCGTGGTTTCTCAAGAGGGGCTTCTGGCTGGATCCGCTTGTCTTTGCTAGTCATCTATGTCCTACCTTCGTGTGGTCTCATGCCCCATGACTTTGCTAGGGGTGAGGGGCTTTGCTGCGATGGGCTTTGTGGACTTTCCAGTGCCTGGATTTGGCCGCGGGCTTGGATTTCAGAAAGTGGACTTCTTGGATTTTGTGGACTTCACACTGGCTGGACTTGGCCGGTTTCGAGTCTTTGCTCTCTCTCGCTTCATGGCTGCATCACTCTCCTTCTTCTGCTCATCCTTCTTGTCACTTCGCTCAGCCTTCCTCCTCTTGCTGGTGGACGCCTCGGTTTGGTCCCCAAAGGTGGTAGACTGAAGACCCGAGTAGGCCGGCCGCGGTTAGCCATTTCAGCCATGGTCTGGACTTGCTTATTTGTTGGGGCGGGAGCACCTTTAGCTCCCCAGACTGGAAATGAAAGATCCCGAGCCTTGGCTAGAGCGACCACGCAGTTGATCCCTGACCGCACGGTCACGACAGAAACCAGGGACCGTCGGGCTATCTACCTCAAGGATTTCGACGCCTGGTTGAACGAGGCCATGGATTTGTCAGTTGATGTTTTGCTGGCTGAGAAGCCGGCTGACCCTGAAAAGATTTCTGAATGTTTGGTGCAGTATGGCCGTGCCCTTTTCACAGCTGGAAAGAGCTACCAAAAGTATTCTGAGACGATCAATGCGGTTGGCACAGCCCGGCCGCTGATTAAGCGTCAGCTGACACGAGCCTGGGACTTAGCTTTTGCATGGTTGCAAGATGAACCACACTCCCATCACCCTGCTCTTCCCGCTAGCATCTTACTTTCTATGCTGAGCACCGCCCTGATTTGGGGATGGAAGAGGGAAGCCGCTTTATGGGCCATGGGATGGAGTGGTATCATGAGGGTTGGTGAAATGTTGATGACCCGACGATCGGACCTCATCCTGCCATCAGATGCTGCACCAGGGTTCACACACATCCTGGTAAAGATCCACCAACCAAAAACTCGAGGACGAGGGGCGAAGCATCAGGCGGCCCGGGTGGACCAGGAGGACTTGGTTAGGCTGATTGCTGGAGCCTTTAAGGACGAAGCAGCGGATGCCTTACTGTGGCCTCTCTCAGCATCCACCCTCCGAAAGCGATTCGGTGCTGTCTTGAAGGAGTTAGGTTTGCCCACTCGCCGTGAAGGAGAACAACGACCCTATGAGCTCGCTAGCCTTCGAGCTGGCGGCGCCACTTGGTTGCTAGGCATGACCGAGAGCCCAGACCTTGTGAGGAGGCGCGGAAGGTGGCAGGCTATGAGGACCTGCGAAATTTACTTGCAAGAAATTGCAGTGGCCACCAGCCTGCCTCTCCTTCCAACGCAGGTGAATGAAAAGATTCAGGTCATGGCAGCCTCTTTCGATATCGTGCTAGATCGAGCCTGCTTTTTCATGTCCTGTGGAGTGCCATGCAATGCATGGTACATTTTGTTTTGCAAGCACTCCAGCCAGCGGCAGTAAATGGGGGATTTTGGAAGATGCCACAAAAGGTGGCTGATGATGCACCCCACTTGTGAGCAGAAAAGGAGCGGCATTGACAGTAATGCCATGTCCTGCGAAGCCGCTCAAGGCTCCCTCCCCCCCAAAGCCCTTTTGATGCTGCTGGAGTGCTTGGAAGATGCCACAAAAGGTGGCTGATGATGCACCCCACTTGTGAGCAGAAAAGGAGCGGCATTGATTAAAGGAGCCCCCCCCGCTGTCTGCGAACGAACAACCAGGCGCATCCAAGAACGACACAGCATGCGCCTGAGTGCGTTTTGGTGCTTCTATTTTGAGAGAAAGTGCTAATACGTTTGGTAGACGCCTTCTTTGAGAACTCTGGGATTGGGAAGAAAAATTACTGTACATAGTACATAACAAGTTTTCTTTGCCATTCTCCTTTACGTAACTGGATCGTGCCATATCCATTCTGTCATGGAGATCGTAGGGAATTTTGTCTCCTGCCAAGCCCTCAAATCAATCTTCCCAGATTTCAGTCATCCCAGTTTGCCTGTTTTTGTTGCTCCATAGAAGATCGTAGAAGTATCACCATAAGTATCACATCTTTTTTGAAACACATCGACTCGGACCAACCGCCAAAGGGTCGCCACCTCGCCGGGAACTCGTCGCCCAGACCGGGACATCTCGCGACTCAAGGGGCACTGCAAGGCGCTCATCCCCGAGCGGACGAGCCACGGGACGAGCGATGGGGTTCCGTTGCTCAGCGGTTTTTTTCACACGGAACATGGCAAGGACGCTACGAACGGGGCGACCCTGGCCTCACTACGAACGGAACAAGAACGCTACCAGAGGCAAAAAGGGCGCTACGAACAGAGCAAGAGGACGCTACGAACGGGGCCTTTTCAGACCTCTCGCGATCCGCATCCCGACCTCACGCTTGCGACGTCACGTCCAGTCGCTTGCCAACATCGAGAAGACCACTGGTCAGGAGCTCAATCGCTTCACTTCGGATCCTTGCGTTTAAATATCCATGGCATGACAAGCAGAGGTTTTTCTGGATCTGTTTGAGAAGGACGAATGACGGTCCGCTCGTTCTGCGAATTCTGGGATGATGCGGGCAGTCCAACATGCGGGCAAATCCATTACTTTGCACGGCAAGCTCAGTTGTTTTGTTGTTTAGAGTACCCGAGAGTATTCATTGGGTATGGCAAGAGACCTTCAGGCCAGCCCTCAGAAATTGATCCTACTTTCAGTGAATCATTTGGGAGAAGAACCATGAGGAACCCTTCACACTGAGGCAGCCTCAGACGAAAAGTCAGCTGATTGGTCTTTTGTGTTCCCAATTTCTGGATTTCGTCAAGCTGCCCAAAGCCATTGTTCTTCGATCAAGGCCCACTCTGGACCTCGCATTTGCCAGCTGCAGATGTCTTGGGCACGATCAAGGTCTCCAAAGAGTGGGGGTCCTAAGCCTTATTGTAATGATTTAATGACCTGAAACCTTGCCGATGAAAAACCGTCTAAAAGCAGACTGGAGCTTCTAGAAGCTGAGATTTGGCCAAAACAGCAAGCAGCAAGGAATATCAAGGATTGAAAGGTAGCTGGGTGGGTGCATGTTGGTCTGGAGAGCCTGTGTTTTTGTGCCCCAAAGCTGCATCACTTCATCGCTTTTTCTATCGCACTTTTTGTCCCGTCCGGCTGCGCAAGGAAAGGCGTACCGGATGAGGTGCTCGGTACGAGTATCGTTGTGCGTGAGAGTGGGTAAAGCAGGAGGGCAAGCCAGGTGTTTCGCCCAAGTTCCAGGCACATCACAACCTGCTTGCTAGCAGCTACTAGCATTTTTAAAACACATTTTTTGGCACCTGCCAGCAGCCGAACTGCTTCTTGATCGGTTTCCTTTGTTTTTTTCATTTCATGATCCACCGGTTCGGTGAACGCGGTCCATGTGTTCGGCGGTGTTTCGCCGGAGGTGCTTCTGGCGAACCTGCACTTGGAGCCTGGCGAGACCGAGCAGCCGGGGGACCCGGAGCGACACGACGGAGGCCACAGAACCTCCACAGAGCTGCGCCGGGAGAACATCCGAATCCGCGACACTGGGCCCAGTGTCGCTGAGGGTTGCCACCAAACGACAATTTCCGCTTCCAAGCTGGCTCTTTGTTCTGCAACTCTGGGCCATGGGTGGGTTGTTTTTCCTTCAAACTTTCGTTGCAGGACTCAATCATGACTCCGCAGGAGGCGTCACCAACACGGCCCTTCCCCAACCCACGGCGTCACACATCGTGTCTCTTTCCGTGGTCCTTGCGGTGGAAACGCGGTGGTGGTGGTGGTGGTCTTTCCGTCGCCGCTCGTCCCGCCGAAGCGGGTCGCCACGGTGCGCGCTCGCCGCAGCTCGCTGGGCGACCTGATCCCGAGCGATGCGCAGGTCCGGGGACCCACAGGGTCAGATCTTCGGTTCGATGGCGCCAGAGGGTCATGTGGGTCATGACCGCAAGACCAAACCATGGTAGGTTGACACGCCATTTTTGGAGATTCCTGCTGTTTAGCTATGGCTGCAGGTCAACCAGGGTGGTTAAAACCACAGCCATATTTGGCGTCCAAGGATGCTTGAAGGATCTGATTTCATGACCTGTATGTATGGGTTTCAATGGGCTTCGATCTGCTTGTGCAGTGGCAAGTGTCATGATTCATGGCGCTGTTGTTAGGTAAATTCATTGGCAGCTCTACTTTGACAGGGACATGTTCCGTTTTGACACCAACAAGGTGCACAACCAGGTTCTAGCTCTTAATTTCGCACCGATGGGCACTGCAACAGAAAAAAAAACCGTCTCAAAGACGCCGTGGTGTGGAATCCAAGGACCCCAGACGGAGGTCATATGCTTGGAAGAACTTGGAGATCATGGAGCGCCTGAGGTCGGGTCTGGCAGCTTCTCTTCCGAGATTCATTTGAGGGATCACTCGCACTGTCTGTGAATCCCCCACTCACGAATCCCATGCCGCTGCCGAATCCGATGTGGCTGGGGCCGCCGGGACGCGATCGCCGCGATCGCTCCGATTCAATCAAGTGGTGACTGGGGCGGGAACTCGACCCAACTCGATCAACGAACGGGTCCAGGCAAGAGCGCCTGGCTGGAAGAGTCTACGCTCCAGAGGAGGGGTTCTTGTGGGAACGAGGTTTCTTTCTTCCGTGCATTGCTGTGTGCCCTTGTTGTCACTCTCCTGGGGTGCGGCGAAATCGACGACAGTACTGTCCCCCAAGACAGACGGAGTGACAGACGGCCGTTTTTCTGTGAGACGGAGATCGGTGTTTGTCCTGTCTCTCAGAGTTTGCAACAGAGCTGGTGCCCAGAGTTCGCATTCATCAGATGAAACATGGAGTCCGATGTTTGCTGGAAACCCACCGGTTTTGTCTTGTTGAGGAACGGTGCCCTGAACTTCATCCGCCGCAGCAGCAGCGATATCCGGAGTACCATTATCCGTACCAAGAGCAACGGCAACCACAGATGCCGCCGCAGCAACAGCAAGAAGGCAATAGGCAACCTCGAACTGCAGGCAGTCTCTTGCAGATTTGTGCTACCTTCGATGGCCGACTGCAAGGGAGCCAAGAATCAATGAATTCGCAGGGAATTGGCGATCAGAAGACAGGGCAGAGAGTGAGAAAATAACGGAACATATGTCCACTGTCCATTTAAATGAGCTAAAGGCTTCGGGGGGGGCCAAGCATCATTGAGCTGAAAGATGATAAAGATGCAACCAAAAAGATTTCCAAGCGTGTGATGAACTGATTACACTGATTGCATGCTCGGAATCCTGCTCACTAAACTATTTGAAGCAGTGTTTCTGGGTTTATAGATGTTTTTGTTGAGTACCATTTCTTGTTTTGACTTGTTGATGTTGCAAACTGCTACTTGCGTCGCTCGCCCAGGTACGGTCCAGAGTACTTAGTTTTGGCCAAGAGAGACCTAGTCCTTTGGCTGAGAGAGGAGCCACAAAGCAGAGCAAGCTGCTTGATCAGTCCAGTGGCGGTGCCAGAAGGATTAGATAGACACCTGGTGACCTGTACACAAACGACAGCGAATTATGGGGGTCTCACGTCTAATGTGTTTCTTGTGAATCCGGGCACAGACTACATGGAAATCAGCGGCTCTAGCAGCTTGGCTGCCTAGCTAGGCTCATTTGCTGGGCAGTCTGTGCTCGCAAAGCGCTTGTGTTTTCCAGAGCTGTGTTGGGCACTGCCAGGAGGAAAATTGGGCCTACGGCGAAAAGGCCTCAAACCCATCGGCACAAGCCGTGCGTGTGGTGTGCGTTTGCACGTTGGCGCTGCTTCAGCTAGGCGTTAATGGGGCATCCATTTCCATGAGGAGTGACTCATTCTTTTCACAGTATTGGGACCTCCTTGGACTTGCTGGCCTTAGATTTGAAGCAGATCGGAAAGAGCTCCATACAGGTAGTAGGCCTGGGTTCTCCATGTCCAAGCAAGCTCATCCAAGCAAGCTGCCAGGTGGGACCAGTTGATGAGAAGGGTGCTGATGCAAGAGTTGGTCCAAGACAGGGTTGGTGGGAGGCCCAGCTTGGGACCTTTTGGCACGTCCCATTTCAAGTGAAGTAACGCCTGAGATGAGTGCGGCTTTGCACCGTTTTCTTCGCATACCACGGGCTCGGCCATCAACTAGGCTTCCAGCTTCTATCCACTGAGAACGACCATGTGCGCTTCTTCAAAAAATGGACACCAGCTTTTGATGGATGCAACTACTTTGAAAGAGAGAGTCTCACGCCCGAGTCGCGGTTGCTTTGTCATGTGCAACATGCGCAGGGTTTCTCGTGCTCCCGACGCGTTTCGCTCTCTTCTTTTTGTGGGGCAGTAAGATACCATGTAGATACACATCCTAGAGCAAACATGGAAGTGGATAGCAGGGCCCCTTGGAAGACCATGTTCCTCTACAAACAGCAGGGGGTGAACTCCACTTCCATGTTAGTTCCAGAGAGTGTAGATCAGTCGTGAGTTCATTTAATCACCGGGTCCGGTTTTGCTCCCGCAACGGGTCCCGCACAGGGTCCCGGGGTGTTTAAAGCAGTTGGATTCCGCAGCTTTCTGGAGCTTTCTGGCGGCTGCCGGAACTGGCTACACCAAAGCTAACAAACAAGGGCCAACGAAGTCAAGTGCCTCCTGTCTATAGCCTTCACATGCCAACTGGTCAAGTCACCGGTCAAGTCACACGTTTGTTGCTTCCAACATCTCCATGTGCGGGTTTTGGCAAGCGCCTTTGATACCGGATGGCAGCCGCACCGTTACGAATGGACGATGGTTCAAACACTCACAGCAATGGAGCAGGTATATGATCGAGGCATCCCTCAAGCATATCCTGACAAATGGCTGGAACTTGGTTGGATCATGTCAAGTTAAACGTCCCTGATTCTCTGCCCAGAACTCAAATTCCAATGATGCTGCAAACAACAATGCGGAGCCCGTGACCTACCAGGGTCCACACAGACGCAGAGACACAGAGATACAGAGACACAGAGACACACACTTAGGATAGGGTGTACTGAACTGAAAGCGGTGCCACACGCCAACCTAGGTTAAAAAAGCCTGAGCAAACAAGGTGCAAAAGTTGGAGGTCATCGCTCTTAGGTTAGAGGCCATCGAAGGCAGGTTGACAGGCCATCGCTAGGAGGTTGGTGACAAGAAACTACAAGACAGCAAAGCAGTCAAGGTTGGAGGTCTTTGCTCTTAGGTTGGAGGCCGTCGAAGGCAGGTTGAGGGGTCATCGCTAGTAGGTTGGAGACAAGAAACCACAAGACAGCAAAGCGGTCAAAGTTGGAGGTCTTCGCTCTTAGGTTGGAGGCCGTTGGAGACAAGAAACCACAAGACAGCAAAGCGGTCAAAGTTGGAGGTCTTCGCTCTTAGGTTGGAGGCCGTCGAAGGCAGGTTGGGGGCCATCGCTAGTAGGTGACAAGAAGCACAAGACAAACAAGACAGCAAAAGTTGGGGGTCCACTCTAGTGGGTGGAGGCCAAAGTTCAGGTTAAAGAACCCCTTACAAAGTTTGGAGGCCTACCTGCAACCTATAGGGTAGTCTAGAGGAGAACAGAAGGAAAGGCACCGACACACAAGTGTGTCGAGTACAATTTCCTCCTGTTCTCCTAAGTAGTGGAACAGGTACACAGTGGGGCGTCCCCCACTGCATCAGCACCTGCTGGCATCCTCTTCGTTGGACGGGAAATGCCAGAGGTGTCCCGTCCCCCTGTTCCAAACCTTAAGGTTCCCTTTCATTCCAAGGGTTACACACACACGCCTCCCCGAAGGGAGGCATGTGTGGCCTCCATCCTGCCCGGAAAGGAGGCGGGCACATGTGCACGCAAAAGGGACAGATGAAATGAAAAGGACGAGACAGACAAAGGTGTGTGTGGTTGCCGATGAAAAAGAACCAAGTGAAGAGGGACAACCGATGAACCAAACCTCATTGTAACGAACCTGGGCCACCTGAACCTCGTTGTAAGTAGAGTACGCGTGCGTGTATGTGTGCAAACTAAGGTCCGGACGAAAGTACGCGCAAGAGAAAGAAAGGATGAGGATGAAGAGACATGAAGACAGAAAGACATGAAAGAAAAGAAGGAAAAAAAAGATGTCGGTGGGAGCCGATGAAAGGGAAACCAAATGAACGGGGACAAACCGATGACAGCCCAAACCCCATTAGAAAAACCTGTTGCAGAAGCCTAGTTTGCTTGTAAACACGCCGCGCGCGAGGAAAGAGGGGGGAGGGGAGGAGGAAAAGAGAAGGAGGGAGAGAAGGAAGAAGGTGTTCCCAGCTACGACACAAGCGTCCAAGGACACACCAAAAAGGAAGGACTCCCAGCTATGATGAAGCATTGAGGGACACCCAAGGAAGAGGGTGAAGGGAGGAAAGAGAGAAGGAAAGAAAGAGAGAGGGAGAGAAAGGGAGACGAGAGAAAAGGAAAAGGCAGGTGCTCCCAGCTACGAACAGTCGTCCAGGGACACACCACAGAAAGAAAGGGGTGATCCTGAGCATTTCATTCAGGAAAACACCAAAAAGCAAAGAAAGAAATGAGGAGGGAAGGGGAAGGGGGGGGCTAAGCTCGCGACAGGTTCCAATGAACCTTGAACAAACTTCGGCCGCTGCGGCCACGTACGCCGTGCCAATATGGCTGGCTGCTTTGACCGCTGCGGTCACGTAAGGGCATAAGCCAGCTTGGAATTCCAAAAATGAGACAAACATCCAACTTCTTGTGGCGTAAGCCATTTGCTGTCCGCTCCGGACGCTTACATCTCCAGGCAGGGGAGATAACGACAAACCCCCGTTCGACGGGTCCACGGGAGGCACTCTACGGGCTCATCCCGGTTGGCACGAAGCCAAACACACTTAGGGTAGGGTGTACTGAACTGAAAGCGGTGCCACACGCCAACCTAGGTTTAAAAAAAGCCTGAGTAAAACAAGGTGCAAAAGTTGGAGGTCATCGCTCTTAGGTTAGAGGCCATCGAAGGCAGGTTGAGAGGCCATCGCTAGGAGGTTGGTGACAAGAAACTACAAGACAGCAAAGCAGTCAAGGTTGGAGGTCTTTGCTCTTAGGTTGGAGGCCGTCGAAGGCAGGTTGAGGGGCCATCGCTAGTAGGTTGGAGACAAGAAACCACAAGACAGCAAAGCGGTCAAAGTTGGGGGTCTTCGCTCTTAGGTTGGAGGCCGTCGAAAGCAGGTTGAGGGGCCATCGCTAGTAGGTGACAAGAAGCACAAGACAAACAAGACAGCAAAAGTTGGGGGTCCACTCTAGTGGGTGGAGGCCAAAGTTCAGGTTAAAGAACCCCTTACAAAGTTTGGAGGCCTACATGCAACCTATAGGGTGGTCGAGAGGAGAACAGAAGGAAAGGCACCGACACACAAGTGTGTCGAGTACCATTTCCTCCTGTTCTCCTAAGTAGTGGAACAGGTACACAGTGGGGCGTCCCCCACTGCATCAGCACCTGCTGGCATCCTCTTCGTTGGACGGGAAATGCCAGAGGTGTCCCGTCCCCCTGTTCCAAACCTTAAGGTTCCCTTTGATTCCAAGGGTTACGCACACACACACATGGACACACGGACACACACGGACACACGGACACACACACACACACAGACACACACACACACAGACACGCAGACACGCAGACACACACACACACACGGAATGAAGCGCCCGCATCACTCTGCCCCGTGGGGGCAACTGCCACGCTTGGCTCGGCCAGCCTCGTGCCGAGGTTTCCACCAGCGTTTGGAAAGCTCACCTGACACGGGCCTTTTGCCCTTCGCTAGCCGTGAGCGAGATGAAAGATTCTTTCGGCCAGCAGCGAGGCTTTATATAGGCCCTAATAGGCCTTGTCATGGAACTTCTGTCGGAGTTGGGTCTTTGAAAGAGGCTTTGTCGTCGTGTTGACCCCACGAGACGGTGGAGATTCATTGGGCAAGGCAGATTTTTCATCAGACAAGACTTCGCACGATGTTTCACCTGAGGTTTCCCCTGGCTGATGAACACAAGAAACTTCCAACGGGGAAGTCACTCTGTCTTCAAGGGCGAGGGCAATCACCTTCACGGGTCACTGGTGGCAATTCTTTGGGAGTCCCGCATTGTCCACAGCTGCGTTTCTTGATCGAAAGTGGCCAGGGGCATATCGATCTCTTGGCTCAACTTAGTCGTGGGGTCTGCTAAGCAGAGTCCGTAGTTCAAGGCTTGCAAGTCATTATCTGAGTTCCTCGAGCCAGTCATTCGTTGGCCAAGTGTGATGTTTGAAGTCTTGAATTTGTGCCATGTTTGACAAATCCAAAGTGTGGTTTGACGTTTAAAAAGACAATTCACTGAGTGGGTGTTTCTTTTTTCTCTTCGGTTTCTTCAACGGTGATACCATTGGAGCGGATAATAGCTCATATCATGCGGACAGAGCTCATATATCGTTTCCCTCCTGAGAGAAAACCACTCTCCAAAGTGTTGGCGCCATGGGATGACTCCACCAGCTGCACCTCAAAAGCTTGCTGACCGACAGGCCCGACCGGCCCGTTCCGAACCCAACGAACGACCCGGCCCTGGGGCCCTGCGCCGGAACTGAACGCCGACAGGCCCGGCGCAGGGCCGACCTGGGTGGCCGTCGTTTCAGCGAACTCAAAACCGAGTCCACCGGGTTCGAGTTCGCTCATCAAACAAGCATGACGAACTGGAGGACAGAAGGTCACATGCCAAGGAAACGGAAGAGCCGGCTTAGCTTCGGTGCTCCCAATGGCCTGGGACTTGGTTGTTATGTTTTTTGCATGGTGGCTTTGTTTTTAGTTTGGTTCATTCTTGGGAAAAGCTGCCATGTTGGGTTTTAGGGCACCGGCTTCATTTGTGTTTCATCAGTTTCATCTCGTTTTATTCATTATAGAAACTGCTACACCACTTGTTTTTCATTGTCCCACTGTTTTTCTCCCCCGCAAATCCCTTGCAGCTGGGCCATTTGGCCTCCAAATTCCTTGACCCATGTAAACCTACGTATGTCGGGGAATTGGACATCCCGCATGTCAGGCATGGTCCCTGGTCCTTTGCAAGTGCTTGCCAAAGCCCTAGAGGCCCAGCTGTGCATGGTCCCAGTGTTCCAAGCGCAGTGAACTGGTCAAAAGGAAGCAGCAAAAATGCCAAAGCCAGAGCATTGGCGAGCAAGACAGGTTCAATTCATGGTTTGTAGAGCGGGGCTTTCAGGTGGTGAGAATTAGCAGAATCACAGACCACATGTTGTCTGATGCATGTTCTTGGCTTGGATGACGAGGTGCAGCTTCTCCTTCTTCCTGTACTTAAGGAGACGTTGGCATGTTTGAAATGCAAAGTTTGCATGCTGCCGTGATGTTTGATCACTGCTTTGAGCAGTCTATGCCGATCCTTACGCTGAATACTAGCTTTTGGTGGATTCTGACATCTGTGGAATGCCATCCTTGACAGCTAGGGAGATAGCTGTCGAATATGAAAAGACTCGGATTCTGTTTTGAACCCAATTGGCAATTGGTATCAAATTGGCAGTGCCGGGTGCTCTTTTTAATTTGCTCAGGAGATTCATTCCGGACACACACACAGCTTTGTTGGTGCCATGGCTGTCCAGCGATGATCTTCAGCACTGAGGCGCAGGCCACCACCTATGAGTTGGCTTTCTATCACCACTTCCCAGTGGCCAGGGCACCTCAGAAGTTGCCAAGCAAAAAGGTTTCGTGTGGAAGCACAAACTTAGCCGTGTTTTTGCAAGACCAGCGTTCAGACCAGCACGAGACCCACATCAGTGCAAGGGTTTGCTTGCAAGCTTCACCACAGCCAAGACAAGCATGTAGATCAAAATTGCATGTAAGATTGTAACATCCTGCATCCATCACAAATTGGTCTTCGCATGGGCGGAATCCCTTTTGACGATGTTAGTCTGTATGAAGTTACCCTGCGTTGGAGCTCTTCCTGCACAGATGTGTTGCAGTGTATCTTGAGAGCATTGACATTATTTACGTATGTGCTGTGAGAATTAACTCTAAACAATCTTGTGAAATGGGCTGGAAGCAAAGTAAGTCGTCACTAGCTTGCAGAGTAGTCATCCTACAAGCCCTTGATGCCCTGGAAGCCTTTGAATTCAATAGTCTTGGAGATGGTTTCTTGATCAGTCTCAGTATCTCTACCTGATGTCAGATGCAAGTTTTAAGCATTGTGAGGAGAGTTCTGGGTTCAAGTAGGGAGTTTTGTTTCAGATATACCCTGAGCACAGTTGTGTTGTCCAGGATATCTCTGTTTGCTTTGCCTATGGCTACGGCGAGCCGACAACCTCCATAGGGTGCGGGTCGCTGTTTGATCTTCCGGTCGTCGATGGAGCACGGAGCTCGTACGAGCTCCGTGCGAGCTCCGTGCTCTGATGCCTTTTGGACGTTTTGTCTTCGAATCAATGTTCTTTCGGATCCACAAGAATTCGGTATGAACTCCGCCATCAGATCCATCATACCATAGTACCTATACCGATGCACCCGTGCACCATGTCTTGTTTTTGTTTCCAAAGAAAACACGTAAGACACTCAATGATCTCAATGCCTTGATGATTGGCGTTCCAGCCAGCGGAAGTTCGGGGAAACATCTGTTCGGGGTTTGTGCTTCTCCAGAAAAGCACCTCCCTGAAGGTGGGAACCATTGCAAAGTGCTTGCACTCTCTTGCACCCTGAAACGTGAATTGCTTTCCAGTTGCAGTTTGGGGAGCCTGGTAAAACATCCCATCTTTGCTGATTCACACAAACAGACACAGAGAGGTCCGGTGTTCTTTGCTGATTCGTCTTCACGTCGGGCCGCAACACCAAGGATTGCAAACCACTGCAGAAACCGCCCCCTAGGAGTCATTGGATCAGCACCAAGCAGTCCGGTGTCTCTTCGTCCAATAACGTTCGCTTCGCAGCGGCGAACGAGAGGCCCCTCAACTACAAGGAAGTGGGCTATGCTCGTGGGGTGCTGAGCGCGCAGTGGCTCGTGTTGGCAGCTTCCTGCACTGCTTCCTGCACGCTTTGGTCTCATGCCATCGGTTCTGTGAGGGTTCTGGCTCGCGCCCTTAGGCACTACGTGGGAAATTGAGCTGTTCAGAACTATGAATGCATAGATGTTCGCGCTAGAAGTTTAACAATTCAATTGCTGCCACTTCGAATCCACCCCTGGTCCCACTTTTTTCCACCATTTTTCACCTTCCCGCGCTTCTGACGTATGCTTAGTGTCATAGCAAGATGTTTTGTGTGAATTTCATGCAACACCTGGAGCAACTGAGCAACTGTGTCGCGGCTGGTAGGAAGTCATCGAATCCAGAGCACTTCCCTGTTGGTAGGAAGTCATCCAATCTTTTTGTTGAGGCATTCCTGCGAACAGCAGTACGAATCAGATCAGCGTTGAGACCTTAAAGATGGGCCGTACGGCAGGCTTTCGCTTTCGCACCAAATTGACGCCTCAGATGGTGAGGGTTTTTCAATCGCTCTCGGGTCACGGTCAGCTTTCGGGTCCAACTTCAGGTTCCAGGCAGTGTTTTTTGGGGCGTAGAACTAGCTGCTATGTCGAACCACAGCGGTGGATGGGAAGAGCAAATGTTCAAGCCAATTTTTTTCTCAGTGTGTTGAAGCACAGTCTTCTCAGAGTTTTCTCCATACCTCCAGCAGGAACCTTTGTTGAAATTCAACCATACCTCTAGAAGGAACCTTTGTTCCTTCTCTTTTTCTCCATACCTCTAACTCCAACCCTGTTGCAAAAGCAACAATAGAATTTGACTTCGTGTGGGATTCTTGGAACACGTGACCACGTGACCGCTTTCACCAGCTTGGGATAGAACATGCCGCAAGAATGTCCAAGCATACTGAAGGATTATGTGTGTGTAATATAATATATATATATGTATGTGGCAGGGACCTTTTGGTAACATTTCGTTGCGGATGAAAAGCACCGGCACATTTCTCACTAGCGCGCACAGGTCTCATTTGCCCATGCCACCACGCACAGGGGAAGGAGAAACCGGACGTCGCGGGTCCTTAGATCGGTTTCTCATTGTTTTTCATTGTTCAATTATTGCACATGTATATTGGGAAGCATGCGTTGCAACTAATGAATCAGCCAAAGCGTCGTCCACTGATCTCTGGCCTGTGTGAAAATTCTCCCAGTAGAACACTCCTGGCTTTGTGCCTTGGATACAAGCGCTGATGGCTGATGGTTCCCGAAGCCTAGAACGGTTGGCATGACGTTCAAAAGCTTGTTACGCTTTTCAAAAGAGTACGGCCGCTTTTGCGTTCAAGCCAGGCTGCGGCTTTCGATCTTGCGCCAGCTCAAGTTGTACGCCTTTTCCTCACAAAGGTACCGATTGAAAAATCTTTTCGATAACCATCAACCGGATTGATTCCCGCGCAGATATGAACATAGTGTTTGGTGAATTCAATTCATGAGTGGCTTCGTGCCAAAACAAATGAGGCTCCCAAAAGCCACGTGATCATACGGTTGAAAGAGTTAAAAGAATGTCTCCGTCATTTTCGCATGCCAATCATCCTTGCGTCTTTGCAACGCGTCGAACCATCCTTTGGAAGGGACAGAGGCCTCCACCATTTCCTCAGCGTGCAACTCTGAAACGCCCAGGGCGCATTGATTGAATTGTTTGTCCATGTCGGGCCGCCAGAAATATGTTGATTTGAGCGTTAAACAAAAGTTCCTGCAACTCCGTAACTTGCCCGCAATTCTGCCAAATCTGAGACCCTGGCGTGCCATCTGGGCTTGAAGCCCCTGCCAGGTGGTGCGGATGTAAATGGTCGACGCAGGTAAACTGTAAAGAAAGAGCCACTCTTGCAAAGCAATACATGTTCTTTTTGGTGGCTAGAATCAGACTCTGCTCCACATGGATTGTGAAACTAACAAGCGCAAAACACAAGCCAGAGCACAAACCTATGTACGTTTTTGTTGAAGCATCAGCTTTCGTAAGCTCAACAAATCATATGTTTCTATGTTCGCTCGGCACCATAGTTCTAGTTTCTCTTTGGAGCGGCGTCCTACACCACCGGAGTATGGATTTCGTCGCCCGACTCACCTTTCTGCACCCGGAATACAATCCGACGGGTCACGAAAGCATTGTCTCCCCAACGACGCACTGGCCTTGCCACCGTGGACACCATATACATCGACGGGTCCCGTAGCTCCTGGATGGGGCAACCACATACCATGACTTACAAAAAAGAATAAGCATGAATAGCACGTATATTGTTGATGCTTTGACAGTTTGCATGGCTTTTGAAGAGTTTGTTTGCTTTTGTTGTGTTTACTCTTCTTCACACTCCGCAGACCTTCGCAGGACAATGATACTTGGCTAAGATCCTTTATCTAAGCTTACTGTTCTGCTTCGACTCTTCACCTCCACCTCGCCAGATCCCCGATTCGACGAAGCGGGTGTCCTTGGACTTCTCAAGGGCAAACTCCAAGAGCTTTGCCGCATGCTGTGGCGGAAGGCCTGGGACATCGCAAACATCCGATGGTTAAAAACACAAAACAAACAATGCACTTCCAAGTCTGTCAAAAGAAGTCCTTCATCAAAAGGATTCTGATCAAAACCTTTCAACCAGCTCTCTGGAGAACATGTGAAAAAAGAAAAGTCTGATACCTTCTATACATCTCAAATATCATTACATCTGTGTCTTCATAACTCTACGCCGTTCCAGTGGCCTGTCACTGCGACGAGCGCTTCGTTTTGTACCGAAGGACCACCTTTTTGCACCTGGCTCCTCAGCGACGACCACATATCCATCCGACCGGGAAGATCGAAAGCGGACGTTCACAATCCACCGAAACATTGCTTTTGGTTCAAGGGGCGACCATCTGCATGGAAGTCTATCATAGAAATTAAGGGGGGACCATCTGGATGGACGCTGTATTACAACTCACCGACTGCCCTCGACCAAAATCTAATCTCTGAGAATCAAATTGGATTAAAGTTCACAGGGTATGTTTCTTGAAGTGCTTCACTGTCAGTCTCTATGTTTCACTTCAGATCCCCACAGAAGCCGCTCCATGGTTATTGGATCAATGCCTTCCGGGCCTGAGCCACGAAAAGACAGTCGATCCGAGAAACTTTCCCATTCGTTTCCAGGAGACAACTGAAGAAGCCATGCCATGGTATGTGAAAAGTAAGGAACTAAGCAGTAAATTGATTTTAGTGTTTATGTGAGGAAAACACCTCTTGATATGGGTAGTGGCCCTGTCATCGACCGTCTCCCCACTCCTCACCTGAAGGTGCTGCATTTTGCAGACCTTTCGCAGCTCCTGTGCCAAGCTTTCCGCATTCAATCGGATCAAGGAAAACCTAATGCAGCCTATAGGCAAACCGACCTGGCGATGATCTGTGATTGGTAGATCACTTGTCAATGTGTCAACTTGTCAACGGCTAATGCGTTTGTGTCACTCATTCACTAATAGCCGAAGTGTCTCGCACCACGACAATCAAACATGATTCGAAAAAAACGGCGCGGAGCGCTTCGGCGTAATCCGCCTGGAGGAAGCTTCTCAGCGACCTGCAGCCATGAAGATTTCGTAAAGTTCCCTCATGACACATGTCGTGGCGTCGTTGCTGTGCTAACTGTTCTCAGAATGTGCACTGTGTAGTTTGTTCTGTCCTATTTCAATCCGTACCCTTGCGCACAGCTGAACGCTCAGCATGAGAGCCGGGCCTCTTCGGCTCGCGCAACACACTGCTTCTTTGCCGCAGCGCCGCGCTCACCTGTCATGCCGGTGGCGCATCTTTGGGTATGAATATGCCATATAATGTTCCGCTGTACCTTCTTGTCTACAACATATGATGTTTGATCAATATTCTTTCATCCTGGAATGGCCATTCATCGCGAAAAAGCAGATATCTTTCGCGGATCTTTCGCGACCTCATCGCGAAGCATGTTCCTCAAGAGAGGTTGGTTACTTAACATGTTTTGGGTGAGTCAGAGAGTCATGTATATTTATATATAGAGATACGGTGGGCGGAAGAAGAAATCCTGCACCACTTTGATACAGCCGTCGTCCAAAGCTGACAGACCAGCAGCCCCACATCCCTATTCCAGGTCGTTGGGGTATGGGGGTGGGGTCAAGTTTGGTAGGCAGAACTTTATCGGCACATTCGTGAAACTTTCGCGGATCTTTCGCGAAAAATCATTAATGATTTCCCCATTGGCTCAAACTGGCTCAGCCAGGTGATTGCACTTTGGCTGTATTTGGCGCCATCTCTGTGGCTAGATTGCTTCAAGCACAAATGCCTCTGACAACTATACACATCTGTGATCTATGACACATAATACAGGAATCCCACAAACATACGCTACACTACACATTGACATCCCAAAACAAACTGAAACCAAGTAAAGTTCTACGTAGAAGCTTTTTATCCAGTGGGCCATAAAAGGAGAACCAATATTAAAACCAGAACCTTCGATAAATCTTTCGCGAAAAACATGTACTTTCGCGAACCTCATCGCGAAGCTTTCGCGGAGGGTTTTAACAACATCTAAAAGGCTGTTTTATATTAAACTCCTTACGCTGGGTTTTCGATCATCTCCCATATGGCTCACAACTACTTTTTGGACATGCCCGGAAGGACTCGATTCGCCGTCAAACCCGGGTATAGGCCTTCCACGGCAAGTCCATACCAATCTGCCATCCGCTTGGCGCGCCGCTCTCTGCGCGCCATGGCAAAGGGCCAAGGGGTGAAAAGCGGAGCAACCGTAAACATAGAACATTGCAGTCAACAATGAAACATCTGTCCTTTATTGCCTTTTGAACGGATGACTTTTGTGACATTGAAACCCATTGAAACCCACGACACTTCCGCGCACCCATGGGGAAAAAAGGAAAAACTATAGCCAACAGTTCACATCGACATGCATGGTGAAGCGTTTCGTTTAGTCTCTCGGTCTCTCGTCTATTGTTTTTCGTCTTAGTCAGTCAGAATACAGCAGCATATGAAAACTATTTAGCGCATTTAGCACATTAGTCTTTTGTTGTCTACCAGAAAAAACGTCCAGCCAGCAATCAAGTTTTGCGTATTAGCGCTGTGCACGTCCATCCTACACACATATGATATGGCACGCAGTGAAACCTAACTATAACTCCACCATCTGCAAGAAATATAGAAAAAGCTAAATTATCCTTTTTGTAACAAATACTATTTGCTGTCCCCGAAATTTTTCGAATCAGTCTACCATGTCAACACTACCTTAAAACAACAAATAGTAGTAATAGTAGTCGGGATGCGCTTAGCAATGAAAGGTGATGAACCAAAATAAATTGGAAAGAGAAATCACATCACCAGAAACAAAACCCATGCATGCCAGATGCACCACTTGTTAACTCACAACCCTGGTACGGGAAGAAAGGAGACCG